CAAGCCTGGCTTTGTGCTTCAGTACTTTTCCATCAATGTCGCGTTTAATCCTGAAAACCCACTTGTTTCCTATCACCTTTTGATTTTCCAATGGTGGTACAAGTTTCCAGGTCTTGTTCCTGATTAATGCTTTGTATTCTTCTTCCATTACTTTTCTCCAGTTGTTATTTAACATAGCTTCAAGTACATTATTTGGTTCAGTTATGCTTGGGTCCATTCTGTACTGTTGACATTGTGTTGAATATACATTTGGTTTGAAGATGCCAACTTTACTCCTTGTAGTCATAGGATATTCAACTTGTCTGTTTAATTTTGTGGCCTCAATTTGATCACCCTCATTGTGCACATCAAATTTCTCAACCTCAACATTCTCAGTTGTCACATCCTGTGAATTTTCACTATGAGCATGTTCATTTCTGCTATCTGAATTTTCATTAACTTCTGGTATCTGATTTCAGGCAATGCTGGTTGATTTGAACTGTGAACTGCTGCAGGTAGAGTTGCACCAGAATGACTTATATCAGTTGAGCATATCTAATCAGAGTTAAGAGAGGTTTGATAGGGAAGATACTGAATGATGGTTTCAGACTTTTGAGAGTTATTGTGTTTGTTTAGAAAACTTGACTGGAAAGGAAATTCATTCTCATTGAAAACAACATGCCTGGATAGGTAGATTTTTCCTGTGGGACTGAGGCACTTATAGCCTTTATGAGAATTGCTGAATCCAAGGAAGACACATTTGGTTGAGTGAAAACTGAATTTGTGAGATTGGTAAGGTCTTAGACATGGAAAGCAAGCACAACCAAAGACTCTAGGAGACTTATAATCAGTTTGCTCATTAGTTAGAACTTGACAGGGTGACCTCATTTTGAGAGTAGGAGTAGGTAATTTGTTAATGAGATAGACAGCTATGTGAAAAGCTTCCCACCAATAGTGCAATGGCATATTTGCTTAAGCAAAGAGAGTTAGGCCGGTTTCAGTGACATGACTATGTTTTCTTTCAACTCTTCCATTTTAAGCTGAGGTACGAGGACAAGAAAGTCTCATTTCAATGCCTGACTGTTGAGCTAGCTTGGTAAATGCCCTGAATTCACCTCCCCAGTCTGACTGGAAAGTCTTTATTTTCTTTAAAACTTGTTCTCGACTAAATTTTAAAATTGAATGAAAGAGTTTAAGGCTTCAAACTTGTTCTTCAAGGGGTGTATCCAGGTGTGCCTACTATAGTCTTCTATGAAGAGAATATATTATCGAAAATTAGAGGTTGACTGAATGGGTGTAGGACCCCAGAGATCTGTATGGATGAGATCAAGAGGTGCTGATGCGTGTCAAGTAGATAGTTTAAATGGCAAGAAACGAGATTTACCTAGTTGACAAACATCACAAAATTGACTAATTTGACTAATTTCATTTTCATTGAGCTCTTCATTACAGATTTTGAGGACTTGTGACATTACAGGACATGTAGGACGTCCAAGCCTCATGTTCCACAATTTTGATTTTGACTCATGCTTAGTGACTCTTTTCGACTCAACAACACAGATTGATGACCTTGATTTATTTGGATAAAATGACTTTTGATAGGATGATCTCTTAACTTGATCTGGGAGCTCAATTTGATACAAGCCGTCTTTAAGTTTCCCTTCCAGCAGCACTTCCTTGGTCTGTTGATCCTTGATACCACAAGAGTTAGAATGGAATTCCATAAAAACACCATTGTCAGAAGTCAATTGTGAGACACTCAACAAGTTTTTCTTAATTGAAGGCACTAATAACACATTACTGAGAACTAAGGATTTATTATTCTGTGTGTTCAAGTGATTAGTGCCAATGTAAGAAATTTGAAGTTCATTTCCATTACCAACAACAAGTCTTTCCTTACCACCATATTTACGTGCTTCAACTAGATTCTCTCTCTCAGCAGTGACATGGTTGCTGGCACCTGAATCTGCCATGTCGGATCTGAAATGGTCTTTGATGAGGCTATGAGAGCAGTTGGTTCTAAGGGGTAGTTTTGCTAGTTGTTATCAGGCTTGGTACCCATGTACCTATCATCATACCGATTTGGCTGTTGAGTGATTGTTCATTCCACAAATTTGACATGGCCCTTTACTTATAATCTGCCTGCCTCCGCTGCCTCTGTTTCTTCCTCCCCTATAGTGGTAGCTTCTTCCACCATAATCAGACCTTCTTCTTCTATTAGTGTTTGCTCTATAACTGAAGTTTACTGAGGCTTGGATTAGGTTGACTGAGGCTAGGCTATTTTTCATAGCACTTAGATGTTCAATCCGACTTTCATAAGTCAGAAGGACTGACTGCAGCTCATGCCATGAGATTGATTCTCTGCTATTAATTTGAACAACAATAGGGGTATATTCTTCATCTAGGCTGGCTAACACTTGAGTAACAAGATCTCCATGAGTGATTACTTTTCCAGCTATTTCAAGGTTGTCTGCTAGCTGTTTAATCATGTTGAGGTATTGATCAATAGTCATTGATCATTTTCTTGCCCTCTGAAGGTCGCTGGTTAGGAAGATAATCCTGGACTTATTTATAACTCCAAAACTCTCTTGAACAGCTTTCCAGAGATTGTAGGCAGTTGATGATCCCATTACTCTCATGGCGATCTCAGATGTCATTGATGAGTACAGCCAACCCATCAACAATTGGTCAGTTGACATCCATTTGCCATATTCAGCATTAGGTGTCAGTTCCACTGTGACTCCAGCAGATTCAGTCGTTTGAGTTGCAAGGAATTCTGCTGGACAGCTCATGGTTCCATTAATGAAACCTTCGAGATTATGTCTTCTGATGAGTGGCATAATCACGTTCTTCCACAAGAGGAAATTGTTCATGTCTAGCTTAACTAGTCGCACTTGAGTGAGAGTGATTCCAACTGGTGTCATTTGATTTCCTCCCAGCAATGGAGGCATCAGTGTACTGGAGTTAGGCAGTGCAGATTGTGCATTATCATCTGATCCGGTATTAGCCATTTGTGGCTCTGATACCAAGTTAAAATAGCTGAAATTGAAGAATGAAGAGCTGAACTATAAGATGGAGAAAATAGCTATTCAATCATAATATTGAGTACAAGTGAGGTGATGCATATATACAAGGAATTAAGTGGAGAGCAAGATAACAAAAAGGAGCAATCACGTGAGGAATAAAAATAAATTACAACAATAAGTGTGGTCCCTAACAGTGCAGGATAGCAGCTCACGATATCAGCAACAACCACATGCTTGCTTGATTAATTCACGAGTGGAAATAATTTTCACACCTCTATTTTGGAGAAATTCATAAACGGTTTAATTTATAATAGCAGAATTGAGTATGAAAAAAATATAGATAATTGAAATGTGTGATTAAAACTAAAGTTTGATTATTTATAAATGATTTATATGTTTTGCCAAACGGATCGTTACATGTAGCATTTATACGTTTCAAAGCCAAGTGCACAAGGAACGAATAGTAAAAAAAATACAACTCGAACCCTTAAAGAAGACATATGTCGATATTGGAGTAACACTCATCAAAGATAAAAGAATTTTGAATGTTATCATGGAAATATATTCTGCAATAGTCATATTTCTTCTAAAACAGAGTTGGACATAAGTGAAAATCAAAGTGGAACTTTGCTTTGTAGTGTCAATTTTTGTTGCGAAGACTCAATATCGAGATAATGAAAGATAAGGAAATAGTTGTGCGATCATCTTGCAAATTATGGAGATAGACAAGAAAAAAGTATGATCGTTTTAGAATATCCACCTAAATTCTTGAATCTCTTATTCTTTGTACATATGACAGGAGGTTCTTTTGTAGGAGGTATCGGGTTTGGATTCGAGTAAAATATTATTGCTTCAAGAAGAAATTCTCCCTCAGCATGGCATGTTTGGAAGTGCTAAGTTTCATAATTATGAATTAAACCAATGATACAAGTGCTAAACCCATGATTTTTGCTGACTTGATGGGTTAAATAACGCCATTTAGTGACACATTAACACTTAACTGCGTCAAAAATTGGCGTTAATGTTTTAACCGAATGATCATAAGTATAACTATTAAAAATTTAAATTACTATAGTCTTAAAAAATACATTACATTGCTATCTGGGAGCATATGGACAAATGGTATTATGATTTATTCTCCGGCCTGCACGTCAGAAGGCCTGATCTGGTAAAATAATCTTAGATTTGATAAGAAGAGTCGTTTGCCCTCTCTTAAAGATTCAACCTTTGTGACTTAGACAAGAATATGTTGCTAAAAAACAAGAAAACGCGTTCCAATGAAATTAGAAAACATTTAAAAGAAACATCAAAACTTCCAAGATGACAGCAGGCCTAATCTTTTAATTTGTTTCTTCCCACAGAGATCAAAGCCTCTATGTTTAATTTATCGCAGCAATGATATAGCCTCAGATGGCCTCTTCTGATAAATTATCAAATGCTAGACTATACTTCCCTCCAGTCCCTGCCTCCCTACCCAACTCTGATGACAATTTTCTATATCATGACAATTGAGCCGAATGACGATTCCGAAAACATCTTACCATGAATAGATGAATCGACGTGCTTTCCTACATTTCCTGATGATCCGATGATTTCTACAGCAGATTTTGATTGACTGCTTTCACTGTTTGTTAAACTTCGATAATATTCATATTGTTTCCTTGGTCGGGAATGCTTTTAACGCGAAATATACATCTTTAAGTAAATATAAATTATATATTAAGTTACTGGGATTTGATAGATTGACAGCTAAATTCCATCTTCTTTTATTCTTTTTCCTGTTACACAAGCAGCGTTCACTAAAAAATCCTTTTTTTCTCCTCACTTTTTGCTTTTTGGACGGCAAGACTTTTTTCCATCCGTTTTTCAATCATTCCACCTGGACTTCTTTTCCAGATTTTCTTTAAATCCCACTCTTAGGCTCTCATATCAGAATCAAGTTGGATTTCACGCACTAACGAGAAACCAACCTTCATACTTTTCTTTAGTTCCTCAATGGCAACTGCTGCTTATTCTTCATGTCAAAATTCATCTCCAAGAGGATTAGCCATGGTTCTAGCCATGGTGTCTGCAGTGGTGCTTTCACCATTATACTTAAACTGGAAAAATGAAAGCTATTATAAGACAAGGTGGAGCTCTGGCTTCGTCCTACCTGTGGTGCTTGCGGGATTGATTGTAGCCATTAAAACGGCATCGTCTAATTCAATGCACAGAGGAAGTAGAGCATCAGTCTCTCCATCTCCAGACGAGTTGACATTGCTCAGAATCGGGAATTCCTCTTGGGGACTTGCCGGAATTTTGATTATGCTTATGTTTGTACTTTCATGCCAAGCCTCCGCGCAACACTTCTTCTGGAGATAAGAGAGCAACTTGCTTCTTGTTATCAAATGTGGTTGAGAACTGCTTTTAGTTTTTCAGCAAGGTAAAACAAAAGATAGTGATGGCTATTTGGAAAATCAGCAACATAGCAGCCGATGCTCTGGACAGTGAATCGATAATGTAGTTACTCTGGCTATCCAGTGAGTTCATTCAATAAAATGCTCTACTCTGCTTCTGCCAAAAATGGCTATAAATAAGAAAATCAAATGTTTAGCACTTCCATTAAACAATTTACGAATATAAATCACACTTCTATGCAACTTCATAATCTGGTTCCTAACAGTAGCCCATAACATCACAAGGGCAAATGAATTTGCGAAATCAACAGCATTCATCTGATTTTTAAGGAACAATTTCCGGCTAAACCATTTTTCTTCGTAAGAGCAGTTCTTTTTAATGTTTCATCGTCTATATACAAGAGTCACCAGTGTCACATTGAATGTTGTACAACAAAAGAAAAAAAATAAAGATCAACTTCTCAAGCTACCCATAGTACTGGCAGCAGGCACTGTGCTTGATATAGTAACACCACGATTATACATGCGCTGTATCTCTTCCCGGCACTCTGTTAAAGACTTATCTGGTATGGGCGGAGTTAATTCAATTACGTCGCCCATTTTTAGCTTGCAGGTGGGATCATTGACTTGTTCATGGTTCAGCCGAGGCCTTAGCTCCTCCTTAAGAGGGAATCCATACGGTGTCCATCTAGAGCTACCTTGACCAGCCCTTTCCAGGAAATCCATAACAGAAGAGTTTGCTGGGAACTCTTGAACTGACATCTGCAAATCCAAACAACAGATAAATAGGTCATGCTTGGTACCATAAAATTAAACACTTGTGCACGACAACTATTCTATCACAGCAAAAACCCCCCCAAAACAGCACGGAATAGGACAAAACCATCCAAAAAGACAGGTCCATCACGAACAAACCTTTTCATTCTCAATCATGATTACAAAGACAGGTCCATCAGATGCACACTGAGGCCTGCAAGAAAACGGGCAATCCTCAGTATGTATAGGGAATGTGCAAGGTGGCTTCAAGGACTCAACAAAGCCAATCGATGAGCTGTCCTCTTTCATAGCCTCGCACTGCCAGGTGATGACCCAACGTGCCCATTCAACCATCTGAAGAATGAACGAAGAGTGTTTACAGTCACCTTCCTTGTATCTCCAATGTGCAGCAAATCCATACTCTGCCTGCAAATGCATATCTTTTGCTCGAATTTGAACTTCAAAGGGAACCATACCCTCACTTCTTACTACTGTATGTAGTGATTGGTACCTACAAATTTTAAATTTGAGCTAACCATAATAGTAATGATGTATTAAGCACAATATTTCCCTTTGAAACATAGCATACCCATTAAACTTGGGATGTAAGATGTAGTCCTTGAACCTCCCAGGCACTTCACACCACAGCTGGTGTACAACTCTCAGAGCTTTATAACAATCTTCCTCAGTTTCAACAATCAATCTCAACCCATGAATATCATGAATTTCATCCATATTCAGCTTCTTTCTGTAAAAATAAAACGATAGGAACTCATGAGAGTTACATCATTAACTTGATCATATGCCACATTATACACTGAACACTATAAGAATAACTCACTACATAGAAGTTGACTCTGTTGAACAATATAATTTTTGAAACTGTATGAAACTGAAACATGACCAAATCAAATGCATTCATATGGCATGACATAACTATCAAGAGACCAGGTCACCATTTGACTTGTACATATGTATGTATGATCAGCCCCAGTAATAAATGTATTTCAGCCTCTTAAAAAATATTATAAAGGAAAAAAGACCAGGTCACCATTTGACTTGTACATATGAATAATCAACCCCAGTAATAAATGTATTTCAGCCTCTTAAAAATATTATAAAAGGAAAAAACACAGGGCTCAAAACCCCGCACTATCATGTTCTTGCTGGTTTCTCTTTGTGCACTCACGTGTAATTAAGCCCTTGTTTGGCCCCCCCAATTTTAAAATTTCCCTTTCTTAATTTTAATCACACATTTTCGAAATAAAATAATATTACACACAAATCTAAAACTTTGTCATTACTTTTCAACCACACATTCTCTCATCAATCACTATTCCAAAATTTATAAATTCTCCAAAATGGGGGCCAAACAATGACTAAATTGTCTAAGTATGCGTGCTTGTCTGAAAGCAAGAAGGGGTGGGGTGGGGGGGGGTGGAGAGACATACTTTGACATTTTGGAATAGATGCTATACAAGCTCTTGTGTCTCCCTGACAGGCAGCGATAAGAAATGGCCCCATCCTTCAAAGCTTGCTCTAGTCTTTCTACAGCAGAAGTAATCATAGCCTCATCAAAGGACTTCACAAGTTTTGATGATAATTCCTGGTACTGATCTGGATTCAGATGTTTAAAACAGAGGTTTTCTAGCTGCTCCTTCCAATTAGAGATCCCTAATCGATTGGCTAGTGGAACAAATATTTCCAAAGTTTCCTTAGCAAACCTATGTTGTTTAATTATAGGTAATGCATCCAAAGTCACAATGTTATGCAATCGATCAGCCAGTTTAATCAGAACAGCCCTTGCATCTGCCATTGCAAGGAACATGGTATGCAATCGATCTGCCTCCACACTTTTACTGGCAATGTTATTATCCCGTGCAAGCTTGCTTAATTGACTTAATTTAGACACCTGAAAGAAACCCAACAAATTTTTAAGCATTTAGTTTAACTAATCAATCCCAATGCAAACAAGATAATTGGTCCATGGCAATCAACAAATTTCCAGTTAAATCCGTCTGCAGATTTCAATTAGATGTACAAGAGCCTCTCACAATATCACATCATATATTGCAACATAATAAGTTGCATCAATACATCTCCAAAGTCCCCATTGTCAAATTATGATATGTTATTAATAAATATGCAGTTTCATTTTAGCATCCTTTTCCTTGAAAATAGTAATACCCAATCGTCTATCTGTAAATGGAGTTAACAAAATAAGAGCATGTTTGGCTAAACTCAAAATCCAATTAAAATTGAAAATATAGCCGTTATTGGTCCCGCTCTTCTAATAAAAGTCAACAATAACGGCTAATTTTTCAATTTTAATTCGATTTTAATCTTTACCGAACACGCTCTAAATTACTAGAAGGGAAAGGGCAAGTTAGAAAATTCATTTATATAGTAAAGAGATCATTAACATCTACAGACAAGGCAAGTTTGGGCAATAACAGATCATAACATCTAAACAGCACATCATCGTATAAAACCTATATAGAGAACTACATGACACAATCATCAGATCTATAGTGTGCCAAACCAAACCTAAAAAACAGAAATTCAGTACATTCAACTTCTCTTACCCCTTCAACCAAGTCAGAAACCTCAGCTCCAAATGTCTTCGAAATATAATCATAAGTCATAAAAGAATCATCAACCGTGTCATGCAAAAGCCCTGCTGCAACAACTGTAGAATTAGCCCCAATCGTAGCCAGCAAAGCTGCCGTCTCCACGCAATGCTGCAAATAAGGATGCCCACTTTCCCTCATCTACAAATATGGACAACACCACAATCTTATAGCTATCTTGCAAATAAAAACAAAAACTAGAAGGTTCAATTTTAAATTACCTGGCCTCTGTGAGCTTTTTCAGCTTCGTAAAACGCCTTAATAACAAAATCATCCTGGAAAATTGTATGCCTCGACTGAGCATCATAAAGCAAGTCTTTAGCATAAGGCAGAATATCCAACTCTGGGAAATTATCCTCCATGTTAAACGTGAGCTCATCTGCCAATACATTCGATGAGACAAAAGGATCGAGATGCTTTACGTCAAAACCCGTAGGTGAAGAATCATAATCCACGAGAGAATTCAACGAGCGCCTCACGAACCTACCGAATAAACCTGTACTCCCAGACCTTATTGAATGCAATTCCCCGCTAATTCTCACGGGTGAGCTTCGAGAACTCGATCCAATTGTACTAGTTGTTGGGCCCTGAAACACCGAAACCGGGCTGTGATGTAATTGATCTCGCTTTAAAGATGTATATCTAAAAGAGGAGCTCAATTCCTCTGCCCTGTCGTGCCATAAGGACCCTGATTCCTCAGGTCCACCAGAATAACTCGAGGATTTCATTGCTGGAGATGAAAACAAGCAGGAGAGGCCCCCGACAATGGATTTTTGAGACGGAGATGCTGAAGCAGAGGCAGAGGCAGACGACGTTGACCGGCCGTTAACATCGAAATCGTACGATGCGTGAGAGTTGATTTGGCAGGAGTGAGGAGCTGAGCACACACTGCTGGGTGGAGTCGCGTAAAGAGCTATCGTCGGAACCACCATATTTCAAACTGTAATCAAATTTCAACTCACACCATGATTGTAATAGGTACAATAATTTCAAACCCTAACTTCTCGCCTTTTGCTGTTTAAATTTACATACATAAATTATAAAACCTTCGATTCAAATGTTAAATGTGGAAAATAAAAAAAAGCAAAGATTCTTGAGGAATTATCGAGCTAATCACATAGAATGAGCAGATCAGAATTTTTAGGGGTTCCGTGTCTGTTCTTCTTTCCGATTAATAACTTGCTTTCCTTGTGATGGAAGAGAATTGGTTTCTCTCAGCAACCAAACGAAATGACCAAAATGCTCACTTGAAATAACGGAATTCCTTAGTCTCGTTTAGTGGAATTAAAAATAAATTTGGATAAAAATTGATAAAATATATGGTTGAAAAGTTTGAATCTTATAAAATATTTGGTTAATATTAATTGTTGGCTTTGAATTAAATTAAAATTCAGATTTTAATTTCTACCAAACAAAGGCTTGACGATGTGCGTTATATTCAATACGTATTAAAATCTCATAAAATGTCTATCTGAAACTTTCTGTGCGAAAAACCTCATTGCCGTCCAATTTCGTTAGTTTAACAGTTAAAAACAACAAAAATGCCAAAATTATAAAAAAAAGATTAATTTCAGCTGTAGTATCCAAAATTCTTATTTTTTATTTTTGCAAATTATACTCAATTTTTTTATATGTGCCTACTACAATATCAAATCTTAAAAAAAAATAATAATAATAATAATAATTCCCCACCTCACCCCATACTCATGCCGCCACCTCCGTAAACAAAGCAAACGAATTCCAGAACAAAAACCCATTTTTTGTTGCTCTTGCTCCGGCTAAGAAAAAGTCGACTCCTACTGCCAAAACCAAGGCCGTCGCCAGCAAAATCATTAATGGCCTGCTTCGGAGGATTTTTTTTACCGATTTTTAGTGGCACCGTCCATGAGGTGTTGGAAAAATCGTTGATTGCTAGTTTTTTTTGGACACCGATTTTGGATCGTGTAATTTTGAGCGGTTCTCTCAATCCACCAAATTGGTGGATTTTAGCCTTTTTTCACACACTTTTCTAATTTTACCCTTTATAAAATAATTATTTCCAATCAATATATTTTGTTCAAAACTAAATTGTAAATAAAAATATATTAACTAACAAATTATTTATCATTTAAAAAATTATATTATAATTAAAAAATACTTATAAGTAAGATATTATTTGTAAGATCAGAAAAATTACATTATAACTAATAATTACTTATAAGTAAAAAATCATTTTTATGTCAAAAATTGTAATAAAATAAAAATACTACTAATAAGACAAAATTCACTTGTAAAATATAATAAAAGTTACTTATAAGTAAAAAAATTCACTTAAAATGATTTAAAAGTATAAAATTTTCTTATAAGCAAAAAATATTAACTTAAAATTTTAATTAATTTTTAAATTAAATATTCACTTATATGTAAAAAAAATTATCTATAAGTAAAATATCACTTATGAGTAAAAAAATTCATATAAAAAATATTTTTACTAAGAGATATATATTAATTTTATTCTTTTAAAAAAACTTTTAGAACCGATGAATAATAAATTTTTAATCATAGGTTCAAATTTTAAAAATCATTACTAAAACCACTTAAAATTGATCCGCTTATAAATGCTTAAAATTGATATTTTAAAAAACGCTCATAACGGGTACAATGAAACTCCCAAGCAGGACCTAAAGGTTTTGGACATTGTGTTTACCGATCAGTCAAGTAAATTTTCGATAAATTCTTTGGTTACTTATCTCGATGCAGTTCTTATAAGCCTATAAACCCAACGATTCAATGAAATCTGATTCCATCAATTTCACATTCATATGGGGGATTTGTAGGATAATGTGTGTAAATGAATTAATCGACTTCATCTATAAATTAAGAAGAAGATGAAGAGTTGGATGTTGAGCCACCTGTTATTAGTGATTAAAAAGAAGATGAAGATATGAGCTATTGGGCTGGTTACTATTGGGCCTAAATGGTGTCTCTTCTAGGGTTGATTGGCCCAATAGTTCTTACAATTTCCTTGATAGTTGCAAGAGGAAATTACATAGTTCCAGGTGTTTGAAGATTGGAATTTAAAATTTAGGGACCAAGTTTTATTATTCAAAAATTAGGTACTATATAAAACTCTAACCCTAATTTATCACTCACTCTCACTTCTCTTTCTCTCTACTGCCGAACTCTCCTCTCTCTCTGTGAATCTACTGCCGAACTCTCCCCAAATTCATTCGAACCCTAAATCGAGATTCCCCAAGGTGGTGGCGGCGTGCAGGCGATGGTGGTGGTCGCGAGATGTCATGGCTGTGGATTTAAAATTGATTGATGGTGATGGGTTAATGGGTCGAGATGGCAGATCTCGGTGGCTGAGGTGTGGCCGACGGCATGGCGTGGTGGTTGCTGTAGGGCTTATTGGATTTGGTTAGTTATTAAGGAGGTGCTTGAGGGTTGATGTCTGTGGCTGTGGATTCAAAATGGATTGATGGTGATGGGTTAATGGGTCAATGATAGCAGAAGTCGGTGGCCGACGGCATGGCGTGGTGGTTGCTGTAGGTCTTATTGGATTTGGTTGGTTATTAAGGAGGTACTTGAGGGAGGCGGAAATGGCGGTTCAGTCGTCGGAGATGGTGGCAGTAGCGAAGGTGCAACGACTGCGCAGCGCCCTACGTCGATCTGTACTTTTCAGTTGAGTCTGTCGCAGATCGTCGGCGATCTGAAATTTTTATAGCAGCTCTGAGGTGTTTTGGGTGGTGGTGTCTATGGTGGTGGATCGGCGGTTGGGGTG